ATGACTGTTTTGTTTCGCTTCGGACGATGGTTGCGAAATCAAAATGTACTCTCTCTCTCTTCTCTCTCTCTCTCTCTCTCTCTCTCTCTCTCTCTCTCTCTCTCTCTCTCTCTCTCTCTCTCTCTCTCTCTCTCTCTCTCTCTCTCTCTCTCTCTCTCTCTCTCTCTCTCTCTCTCTCTCTCTCTCTCTCTCTCTCTCTCTCTCTCTCTCTCTCTCTCTCTCTCTCTCTCTCTCTCTCTCTCTCTCTCTCTCTCTCTCTCTCTCTCTCTCTCTCTCTCTCTCTCTCTCTCTCTCTCTCTCTCTCTCTCTCTCTCTCTCTCTCTCTCTTATATTTAGAACTCTTCATGATTTTTCCTAACAAAACCTTAGAACTGAATGATCTATTAATTATCCTCCAACTTGAAATTTTGCTAAAAAACCCTTTGGAATTTCCCTCAGAATTTGATTTTCTCGGTATTCTTTTCAAAATTATCTTGGAACTATCTGCAAGATGTACTAGAAATTATCCGCAGATTTTTTTTTGAATTTTCCCTACACATATTTTGGAACTGTCATAAGAATTCAACATCCTTGAGGTTCTTCTCGGAACATTTTAGATTTTTTTTCTCATAACACCTTGGAACTGACATTCCCATAAAGTTTTATAAGAATTTTCTCTGCATCTTCCAGAATTTCTTCCCAGAATGAGTTTGAAATGATCCTCGGAATTCCCTTGAAATTTTTCTCAACATCCCTTTGGAATTTCATTCAAAATTTGACTCTCTCGGTATTATTTTCGAAATTATCTTGGAACTATCTGCAGGATTCAATATAAATTATTCGCAGAATTTTCATGGAATTATCCCCAGAAATCTTTTCTTTTAGAACTGTCAACAGAATTCTATACCCTTGAGGTTCTCCTCGTAAGTCAAGTTTAAGTTGCCCGCCCATTCACCAAAACGCTGTAGTTTTTCTACCAGAAATATTCAATAAAGCTTGCCCCTCCATTCACCAGAACTGTGCAATTTTTACATCAGGAATTTTCAATTCAGCTTGCCTCTCCATGCAGCAGATTGTTGCAAATCTTACACCAGAAATTTTCAATACAAACTTGCTCCCATAAAATTTTACACCAGAAAATTTAAATTGATCAGAACGATGCAAATTTTTAACCGGTAATGTTCAATACAAATCGCTTCTCCAATCTTCTGATTAGTGGAGATTTCCTTTTTCCATTTTCCACCAGACATTTTCAATTTAGCTTGCTTATCCTGTCATCAGAGTGTTTCAGGTTTTTCACCAAGTAAAGCTTGCCCCTATTTTCAGATTTTTCATCATAAATTTTTAGTAAAGCAGCTTCCGTCCAATCATCAGAATGGTGCAAACTTTACACCTTGTTTATCTATTCAGCATAAGGATGCAAATTTAAGACCAACATTTTTCCAAAAAGCTTGCCCTTCCGTTCACCAGAACGGTGCAGATTTTCCACCAGAAATTTTCAATATAGCTTAATTTTAAATAAAGCTTGTGCCTTTAGATTGCCACCAGATTTCGTTCATTTTGTTTACCAGAGCGATGAAAATTTTGCACCAGAAATTTCCAATAAAGCATGTTCCTCCATTCACCAGAACGGTGCACCAAAAATTGACAGTGAAGTTTGTTTCACCATGTATCTTTGTGGTGCAATTTTCAGGTTTAGCCTCTTCATGCTCCAGAATGCTGCAAATTTTCCACCATTAATTTTTAATTAAGCTTGCATTCATCAGAACGATGCAAATTATGCTCCAGAAAAATGAATAAATCTAGCTTCTACATTCACTACTGTCGCAAGCACCTCGTTGCGCCGCACCACACATCCAACTGCAGCGATGGTACGTACCTTAAAATGTTAATACATTATCCGCTCTGACGTACCCCACTATCGGTGAGTCACTGTGACAAAACGCCAGGCAGACAGACAGACAGACAGGCACAGATCAAAAGAAAGGCCGTAATCGAAGAAAATGTATTTATTTAAATTCGATATAATTCCTACTTATTGCTAGTGAAAATTAATTAAAATTTGCTTATCCTATTTAAATTAGTGAATATAATGCATTTGGTAATAAAAGTGAACTAGAACTAATAGTACGGTGAAATAGTACGGTTGTAAGCGTAGGTTAGTTTATGCAGTGATGATGCAGAAAATTTATTTATAAAACTAAACTAAACCTAGAATCACTTATTATATAGCTGCTACTCGGGAATCTACGGGACTTTCACGCATATTTAAAACAGACACAAAGCAAATTGAAAGCAGGTAAAATTTCATAATTGTAACCTAAATTTGTTGAAAATTTGTTATTCATAACCTAACCTAGGAATCTAATTTACAGTGATCCCATCACCGATCGAACAACTAAACACATAAAGGGACAGTTTAAATGATCTTTATTTCAGTTTAACTTGGACGATTACCATATAAATTTTTTTTACTAAGTGATTTAATTGCTTTCTTCATCTTTAGGTATGGGCAAAATTCAAAATTTGTTTTACAGAATTAGTCCTAGACTTAGTACACGGTCGACCACCTTGGTGGGATTGGTTTGTTTTGTTTTTAGAATTTGAAGAGAAACTACTTAATACTACTATTTACAGCTTAAAACTAACCTACTCTACTATATACACTTAACCTACTATGTACAAATTGCTTATTAAAGCATGTTCAGAAAGATTGCATTTTTGAATAAATTTAGTTGTCATATCATCAATTTTGGACATAAAGGGACACTAAACGTAAGTCTCTTTATACACAAACCAGTAAACTTACCTAATTATCGTCTAAGAATAATCTAAAATTACTATGTACAACAGAAACAAAAACTTATACTACTGTACATTTAAATTTTCATTCGTTAGGAATTTTTTAACGTTATCACTAGAAATACAACGTTCAGAAAATCGGAAAAATTGTCTCCTTCGTTGCAATCGCCACATTCTTAAAAAGTTCGTTTAATTGCGATCGGGGAAGCTGTTTGAAATATGCCGAGAGTGCATCGGAGAAAAGGTCCCAAGCCGGGTGTGAGTTGTGTAGTGTGTGAAGATGCGGACAATAGCCGGATGGTCTGCTGTGACGACTGTGGTCTATGGTACCACTTCAAGTGCGTGGGAGTTGATGAAGGAATCGTGGAGAAGGATTGGAGCTGTTCAGCATGTGAAGCTAAAAGTGCAGTCCAGAACCCATCGATCATCATCACGGAACCTGTATCGAGTGGAGAGGATCAAACGTCGGAGAGCAAACAAAAGCAGAGCGATCAACTCAAGGAGTTCCAAAAAAGAATGGATCAGATGCGGGTTAGGTTCTATAATCAGCAGCAGGCGTACGAGAAATTACTTCAAGAAAAGGATCGCGAGATGCAGCATACGATTGAAGATTTGCAGTACCAATTCCAGCATCGTTTGGAGAAAAGAGAACAGCAAATTCGAGATGAGTTGAATGTTCCAACCGGTGTTCCTGTACCGAATGCAAATTCAACAACGCTGGGAGGTGAACATCTTGCAGCTGGTGACATGTGCAAAGCGTTCGAGCGGATGGAAAGGCAGCTTGAAGAGCTGGCAAGAAAGCAGGACATCGAAACGAAGCGGCTTGCAGAACGTTTGAGGGTGATGGAAACCAGCGTAAGAGAGCCGGTCCGAACAAGGAATGATGACTTTAACGAGACTCATGAACTCAGCAGGAGTCAACTCGCCGCGCGGCACGCAGTGGCTAAGGAACTACCCACTTTCTCGGGCCACCCGGAAGAGTGGCCTTTATTCATCGCCACTTATGAGAGTACCACCAGAATGTGCGGTTTCAGTGAGGAGGAAAACCTACTTCGCCTCCAGCGTAGCTTGAGGGGGAAAGCTCTTGAAGCAGTGCGGAGTCGTTTGTTGTATCCAGCAGGGCTCGAAGGCGTTATCAACACGCTACGTACGTTGTTTGGCCGGCCAGAAGTAATCGTCCACTCGCTAGTCTGCAAGATTCGGGAAATGCCAGCACCGAAGACGGAGAAGTTAGGAACTCTGATCGATTTTGGTGTTGCAGTCCAGAATATGTGCGCGACGATCGTAGCCTGTGGATTGAACGAGCATCTATGTAACGTGGCACTCCTGCAAGAACTTGTTGAGAGACTGCCACCAACTGTGAAGCTCGACTGGGCAAGGCATCGTCAAACACTGACAGCGGTCACATTATCGGACTTCAGTACATGGTTGGGTACGCTCGTGGAAGCAGCATGCGTTGTAACGGTTCCGTCGACGATCGGCACGTACATTGGTAAACCTGAGAAGCGTGGTCGAAAGGAGGAAGTACATGTGCATGTCGAGTCAAGCCATAGTTCAGCATCTAGCTACAGTCCAGCATCATCAAGCTCAGTGGATCTTCAGAGGGCTACTCCAAAGCCAGTCAACAAGCAGTGCATTATCTGCCAGGGAAGATGCAGCAGTGTAGGATCGTGTAAGAAGTTTCAAGAACTGGACGTCGGAGCACGATGGGAAGCGCTGAAGCAGAACAAATTGTGCCGGAAGTGTTTGACGAAGCATTTCGGAGCGTGTGTGGTAAAGCAAGCTTGCGGAAGGAATGGTTGTGCATACATGTATAATCGGCTGCTGCACGATGATTCCAGATACCAGCGAACGGAGAATCCTCGAACGCCGATTCCACAGACCGGTGCAGAAACAACGACCGAAACCTGTAACAGCAATATTAACAAGGTTCTCTTCCGATACGATCCAGTGCTCCTTCACGGACGAGGAAAGTCTGTACGCGTATTTGCCTTTTTGGACGACGGTTCATTGGTGACGTTGATGGAACACAGTTTGCTTAGGGGACTGGATCTTGAAGGTGAATCGTATCCCTGAGCTGGACAGCAGATCATCAACGCCAGGAAATGGACTCCGTGATGCTTGCGTTAGAGATTTCTGGAGTGCATGATGCGAATACGCACTGGATTCCAAAAGTTCACACCGTGGATGATTTAGCTCTACCGTGGCAAACACTTGCGATGGAAGAATTAGCGCGGAACTATCACTATTTGGAAGGCCTGCCGGTTGATGCCTATCGCAACGTCCGACCGCTGATGCTCATTGGAATGGATAACTACCGCTTGGGTCATGCGCTGGACAGCAGGGAAGGACCTAAGGAGGAACCGATCGCTACAAGATCACGCTTGGGCTGGATAGTGTTCGGACCTTGCTCTTTAGGATCCCAACCAGCGACGAACTTCACAGCACATCACAGCTTCCACGTGTGCCCATGTTGCGAGCGGAGTGACGCAGAGTTCCATAATGCGGTTAAAGCTTACTTTTCACTGGACAGTATTGGAGTAACGAGCCCTGTGAAACCACTTTTATCGAAAGACGATGAACGAGCGGAACAGTTGCTGAAGTCCATGACCCAAGTGAAGGAAAGGCGGTATGAAACAGGATTACTTTGGCGGTACGATGATGTTCGACTGCCGGACAGCAAGCCGATGGCGATGAGACGTCTGATTTGCTTAGAAAAGAGAATGCAACGTGACCCTAAACTAGCTGAAGCATTGAAGGAGAAAATACGGGATTACGAGCGAATCGGGTACATCGAGAAGCTGACAGATAGCCAACTCGCCGAGAAATTCACACGCGTCTGGTACCTCCCAATATTTCCTGTGGTTAACCCAAATAAACCGGGGAAGATGCGTATTGTTTGGGACGCCACCGCAAAGGTAGCGGGAGTATCGCTGAATTCATACCTGCTTACTGGACCGGATCTACTCACTTGTCTTGTATCCGTCCTTCACCGTTTCCGGGAATACCGAATTGCCATTACGGGTGACATTCGAGAAATGTTCCTTCAGGTGTTGATGAACTGGCTCGATCAACAATGCCTAAGATTCCTATGGCGGAACGGAGAACTAAACCGTAGTCCAGATGTTTATGTGATGAAAGTAATGGCATTCGGAGCAACGTGTTCACCAAGCTGTGCGCAGTATGTAAAGAACCACAATGCGCAACGGTTCCAGGATCAGTTTCCAAGGGCAGCTGAAGCGATAGTGAAACAACATTACGTTGATGATATGCTCTCTAGTGTCGAGACGGAACAAGAGGCGATAAAGCTAGCGAAAGATGTCCAGTTTGTTCACGCACAGGCAGGGTTCGAAATACGGAATTGGTTGTCGAACTCAAGTCGAGTGCTGCGAGAACTAGAAGCAATGCCAGGAGAGAAAAGCCTTAGTATGCCGAGCGAGATGGGAACGGAAAAAGTCCTTGGCTTGTGGTGGTGCACTGCTACCGATACGTTTGCCTTCAAATTATCGTCAAGGATTAACGCCGAGTTACTTCAGGGTCTCATCGTACCAACAAAAAGGCAGATCCTAAGTACACTGATGATGATCTACGACCCTCTGGGACTACTGGCGCACTTCCTAATGTTCCTGAAAATACTACTTCAGGAAATTTGGCGTAGCGGTGTTAATTGGGACGATCCTATCAAGAACGAGCAGTGGGAGAAATGGCAGACGTGGTTACGAGTTCTTCCGCAAGTGGAGACTGTCAGCGTGCCTAGATGTTACCGGATGAAGACGAGCACAGGCGAACGGAATGTGATTCAGCTCCATGTGCTCGTGGATGCATCTGAAAACGGGTTTGCTGCAGTTGCCTACCTGCGATTTGAAGAAGATGGCGTAGTGGAATGTGCGCTCGTCGGCGCGAAGACACGGGTAGCTCCATTGCGATTCGAGTCAATTCCCAGACTAGAACTTCAGGCAGCCGTAATCGGAGCCCGCTTGGCGAACGACATTCTAGAGTCACAAAAGCTGAAACCTACAGAACGTTTCTTTTGGTCAGATTCACGCGACGTTCTTTGCTGGCTGAACTCAGATCACCGCAAATATAGCCAATTCGTAGCGGTGCGAATAAGCGAGATGTTGGAATTGACAGAACCAAAAGAATGGAACTGGATCCCATCAAAGCTGAATGTTGCTGACGATGCCACGAAATGGCAGAGGCTACCGGATCTTTCACCTGCAAGTCGTTGGTACCGTGGTCCTGAATTCCTCTGGGGATTGAGAGAGCAATGGCCAGTTGCTATGTCGAGATTCGATAGCACCGCGGAAGAAAAGCGTCCGCATGTACTACACCACTCCGTCGAACGTGCACTGTTCAGGTGGGAAGACTTTTCCAGATGGAAACGTTTGCTGCGCCATGTGGCCTTCGTAAAGCGATATCCATCGAATCTACGCAAAAGACTATCGAAGGAGCCTATTGTCACCGGTCCGCTAACTCAGAGGAGCTGAGAGTGGCGGAACTGTTGATTCTGAAGTCAGTGCAAAATGCTGAGTTCACCGCGGAAATAGCCCTGTTGATGAAACCAAATCCAGAGCCATGGAAGAACGCATTATCTAGAAGTAGTCCACTGTATGGACTGGGTCCGTTTCTGGATGAAAGTGGACTGCTACGAATGAAGGGCCGCATAGACGCTTGCGAAAGTGTGGACGAGTGTACGAAGCGCCCGATACTGTTGCCAAAGCGTCATCCAGTTACAGACCTTATTATAGCCAGTATTCACCAGCAGTTCTGTCACATGAACCACCAGACTACGCTCAACCAAATCAGACGTAGATTCTACGTACCTCAGCTACGATCGACATACAATCGTGTGCGATTACAATGTCAGCACTGTAAGAATCGCCAGGCAAAACCAATAGCCCCAGAAATAGCCGTTCTACCCCCCACGCGTCTGAAAGCATTCTGTCGTCCCTTCTCCTATGTCGGTATCGACTATTTCGGTCCAATGTCCGTAGTCATCGGTCGGAGAACCGAAAAAAGATGGGGTGTATTGATCACCTGCCTCACTGTGCGAGCAATACATCTCGAGGTTGCCCACAGCCTCACAACAGATTCGTGCATCCTCGCCATCCGAAACTTCATCGCCAGGAGAGGTACCCCTCTGGAAATAGTTAGCGATCGCGGCACCTACTTCATCGGAGCCAGTCGAGAACTAAAGGAAACGCTGCAGCAAGTTAACCAGGACAAGCTGATGGAACATTTTGTTACCACTGACACCAAATGGTCATTCAACCCACCTGCTTCTCCACACTTCGGCGGAGCCTGGGAACGCCTCGTACAATCTGTAAAGAAGGCCCTGAAGCACCTCCAACTCACACGCACACCAACTGATGAGCTACTAAAGAACATGTTAGCCGAAATCGAACTAATCGTCAATTCTCGGCCGTTAACTGAATTACCGCTAGACGATGAGCTGTCTTCACCGCTTACCCCGAATCATTTCTTACTCGGGTCATCAGACGGTTCAAAGCCCCCGATCGCATTCGATGACTGTAACTACACGCTGAAGCACACCTGGAAGATGTCGCAGGTCTACGCAAACAGATTTTGGCGACGCTGGGTCACTGAATATCTGCCAACCCTCACGCGTAGGACGAAGTGGTATCATCGCGTCAAACCAGTCGGGGAGGAAGACATTGTCGTCGTCGTGGACGAAACGCTGCCGAGGAACTGCTGGCCGAAAGGTCGGGTGGTCCATGCAATCCGGTCCAAGGATGGACAGGTCCGTCGTGCTCTGGTGCAGACAGCGACTGGAGTTCTAGAGAGACCAGCCGTGAAAATCGCAGTGTTGGACGTCGGTGCAACCGTAAGTACGTCGGACCAATGACGTCGAAGTACTGGGGGGAGTGTCGCAACAACTCGTTGCGCCGCACCACACATCCAACTGCAGCGATGGTACGTACCTTAAAATGTTAATACATTGTCCGCTCTGACGTACCCCACTATCGGTGAGTCACTGTGACAAAACGCCAGGCAGACAGACAGACAGACAGGCACAGATCAAAAGAAAGGCCGTAATCGAAGAAAATGTATTTATTTAAATTCGATATAATTCCTACTTATTGCTAGTGAAAATTAATTAAAATTTGCTTATCCTATTTAAATTAGTGAATATAATGCATTTGGTAATAAAAGTGAACTAGAACTAATAGTACGGTAAAATAGTACGGTTGTAAGCGTAGGTTAGTTTATGCAGTGATGATGAAGAAAATTTATTTATAAAACTAAACTAAACCTAGAATCACTTATTATATAGCTGCTACTCGGGAATCTACGGGACTTTCACGCATATTTAAAACAGACACAAAGCAAATTGAAAGCAGGTAAAATTTCATAATTGTAACCTAAATTTGTTGAAAATTTGTTATTCATAACCTAACCTAGGAATCTAATTTACAGTGATCCCATCACCGATCGAACAACTAAACACAAAAAGGGACACTAAACGTAAGTCTCTTTATACACAAACCTGTAAACTTACCTAATTATCGTCTAAGAATAATCTAAAATTACTATGTACAACAGAAACAAAAACTTATACTACTGTACATTTAAATTTTCATTCGTTAGGAATTTTTTAACGTTATCACTAGAAATACAACGTTCAGAAAATCGGAAAAATTGTCTCCTTCGTTGCAATCGCCACAACTACAGTGTAGCGAACTTTCCATCAGAGATTTTCAGTTAAATGTACACCTCCAAATTTTTAGCGTTATTCAATTTTCCAATTTTCATTTTGTTTAGTCCCTCCATGCACCACCTTGAAGATATTTTTACACCAGAAATATTAAATAAAAAGCTTTTTCTTCGATTTACCATGGCGAAGATAAATTTTTTCAACCTTAAATTTAGCTTTTTCTTTAAACCCTCCATGAACCAGCTTGAAAAAAAAAATACACCAGGAATTTTTGTATGCACCACTGTGGTGCAATTTTTTGACCAAAAAATTTGAGTTAAATTTGTCCCTTCATGCACTTTTGTTGAGCAATTTTCAGGCACCATCTCAAAGGAATTGACGCAATAAAAAGTTTTCAGTGCCCTTTTATTATGAAATGAAGTTATTTTACCTTCAAATCAAGTTATCAAAAAATCAAGTTATTTTAAATCATAATTTTATAAATCTAGAAATAGTAATCTTATTTATAAAAGGAAGGGCAATTGCCCCACCTTGCCCCACCCTGTGCACGCCAGTGTTACTGGTTGTAATTATTGGAAATAATTGATTTTTTCTCTTCTTCCATACTGATTTCAACGAGGATTTCAACAATTCCCACCAAGTAAACAGCGTCATCTCTGGGAATATTCTTTGTGGACATCACTTTTTATGATCTCAACTTGCCAAACGAGCGTAAAGGTTTTTAAAAATGGCAGATTGAAATATGAATTCTCTTTTTGGTCAGACACTTTCAGCATAACCATTACACAGAGAGTTCCTCAACGATTTTCATTAGAATCCCCCGCAAAGTAAAGGTATAAGCCGAGAATCAAGCCCGAAAGCCGCCAACATTGAGTTCGAGCACCGAAGTAATAACGATTCCCATCAAGAATTAAACAAATTTCCAGATTGATACCCCTGGAGAAATCTCATTCAAACTTTGCAACTGAAGAAGCCAATTTGCCCGGTGTCGGTCGGCTGGCTTCACTCTGCTAAATGCAAATGTTCCGTAGCAAATTTGCATGGAATCTACCTACTATGGTGGAAACTGCCGTCTTTTCAATGTTTATCCCTCACTCTTACACTGATTAATCCGGAAGCCTGCCTGTCGACATCTATCGGCAGTGAAGATCGGTAAATCATGTGGAAGCGAAACTTTCCATCGTTTGTCCTTGTATGCGTTCATGAGGAGAATCATCCTCTTTGCGTCCGCTTCATATCGTGTTTTCCAATTTATATGCATATGTCCTAAGTTCGGAACCGACCCCTACAATGTTATGTTTTCACGCTCCTGTAACAATCGACCAACTACGATGCTCTTCGCTGGCTCCAATTTGTATATTAGTGATGCAAACTTGGATTGCTGGGAAAATGTCCTTATCTTTCGTTTCCATCTAAATCTGCTGCTCCTTGACTAGGTGCCGGGATCTACACAATGTTTCGGACTGAAAATGGAATTTTCCTCACTCGGTGTGGAACTCATAAATCTAACGCGTGAATTTGCATTTGCGGTGATTCGTTACAAATTCTGTAAATCGTCCATACAACTTTAACGTCTTTAACTCTGTCGTATAGATTTGTACCAACTTCTCCGTACCCGTCAACTTTTTTCCCATAAGGCTTTCTTTCAACGAACGTCAGCATGCTCAGCATTTTCCTGCGAAACTGTCACAAACTGATGTCACGTTATTGCAAACGATGTATTGTAAAAGTAAATGAAAATTCCATCCAACCGTTCCGAGCAAATGCAAACCGCGCGTCCACGCGGCACCCGCCACCCGCAATTATCATCCGTTCACGCTGTAACCGGTTGCGCTTTGATCGCTTCCACCGCCGTCATTCAGCCCGTACGGCACACCGGATGGGGAATCCTCCGGCTGTCCAGGCCTCGGTGGCACCGGTGTAATATCCTGCGAGTCAGCTGTAATGGAAAAGATGGAGAGATTTTCGATCAAATTAATTATGCGTTCAAGAGTGCCGTAAGAATCTAATCGCAATCGCAATGTACCAGACAAGTGATTATTTTCGGGGAAGCGTAATTTTTGGTGGATCAATTTTACTGGACTACATTAAATAATCGATTCTACAAACTCTATTTCAGTGAAATAAATTGCAACGCTCCGGGGGCAAATTCGTCGGTGGTAAAAGCCTACTTGGATATTCTCAATGATTTTTTGTGTTTCCAATATGCTTAAAAATACAACGCAATCCATTATTCCTTCATGCAATCACTAGCGTGAATACGGGGTGGGGGGGGGGGGGGCAAGGGGAAGCAGTTGTCCCTCCTTTTATATTGAAGCATTTTTGCATATCATTGCAATGTTCACCGCATGCACCATCTCGATGCAATTCATCCATCCGAAATGTTCCATGACTGTGGAGGCGGATCTACATCGACTCCGCGTCCAGCTCCAGCTCCGACTCCGATTCAAACAAAATGCAATAAAAATTTAATTTAAGGGGGTATTCCCAATCTTTTGCCTTTTTTCGGCCTGTTTTTCAATTAATTTTTTTCAAGGAAAATGAATAGTAATGCGCCTAACTCTTTGGGATTCTTGTTTATTGAACATTAAAGTTTACAAATAAATTTTTTTCGACATAAAAAAAGACATTATTGACGTCACAAAATGGCGGCAAACAGACCCCTGTTCGCCGCAAACGCCTGGACGGGCGAAGACTTTTCTCTGGAACGGCTTCATCTGAAACAGATTTCGTGATGAAATTAATAATCTGCATAAGATTCTCTGGAGCTTCTCCCGTTGGCAGCAAAAAATCTTGCAAATTATTAAAATG